AATAAGTAGTCATATGATATATATATATATATATATATATATATATATATATATATATATATATATATATATAAACCAACCAATATCAGGTTTATTGTGACCTGGAAATCAAGCCTTACTGCCTCTGAAAAGAAGCTGTTCAGATGTTTTTTTTTAGTTATTATCATTGGATATTACTAGAGATATTTATAAAACTGGGTTTAGTCTAACACAGTGTCAATGGGGCAAAGTATATTATGCTTCCAGGGAGACAGCCTATCTGCCAGTTTTAGGAATTAAAATTCAATAAGCTTTTACTCAGGCATTGTAACTGCTCTTAAATGGTTTTCTTCAGGTCAAGACAAACTAAATTGATGTTTACAAATATAGAACTCCTTTAAGACTATATTTAGAGAATTTTGAAAAAATTCAAAAAATGATATGCAACATTATCAATCCTGACCTGGCATCTCAGCTTTAGTCATGAAAGTAATATAGTTTCACCTTAATAGCAACTCTGTGTCTTTTCTATAAATATTTTCATGGTAACTAATGAGTTTCCCTCTTTGATATCTTAACTTCACAAATTTAAGTACAGTACTAGATTGGCAGCTAGGTCTTATAATTTCATTGTTGAAATTGCAAGATATAACCAGGTTCTCTGCTAATATAGTTTCTTTTCTTAACTTCTTGCTTGAAGAGTTCTCTTCTTGCTTTCCTGAGAATTACAATCTTCAAAAATTTAAATGCACTGTCAGTTTTCATCTTCTTTCTTGAATCCTGTTCATTTTTATTGTCCTCTTTATTTCTTACACTATCAGTAAACCCTTGCAACATTATTGCCTTGCTTGGAGTGAGATGATTAATAAAATATAAATGTTATTCCCCAGAAACACTGAAAAAATGAAATAAAATTAATATTACAATTTTTAAACCAAGTTTGGTTGACTCTATATGTTGTAGAGTAGTTTCACAGCGGAGACTTGTATTTCACTGTCGGTCCTAAAAAGTTTTGACGTACAAAACATTAGGAACTTGATATAATAGGTAATGACGCAGAGAAATCTAGTGGTGGTCGCTGATACTCTTAGTGTTCGACATTGACTGACTGACCAACTCACTGAGCTACTGACTTAGCTACTGCTACTACTACTACTTATTATAGGTGGGAGAGTCTATTAACTATAGAATAGGTGTGTTCCAGTATAGCACTGTGGAATCTTCCACAACAAACCAGCCTTACTTCTTTTTAGGAAATGCACTCTTCCTATCTGGTAAGTAAAATTCTACTTTCATACAATATAACAAGTATTCATTGGTCAATCACCTCCAATCTTGCTTGCTGATTGGTCAGTTCCGACCAATCAAACCACCTGCACGCAACCAATCTGTTTTTCCCGCTTTCTTCGTTTGAGCCTTCCACGTGGCCATTATATAAACCGAACACGTGTGAACTTTTTGAGGAATAGTAGCTTTCTTTTCATTCATCTCTCTCACACGTCTCATACCTTGCTACCAAGTGCCAAGATGTAACTTTCACCAACTTCCATCTTAGTTATTGCTGACCAGACGTTAAAGACAATTACCAATATTCACAAACTCTGAAATCACTCCTGAACTTTTATCAACTTTAGAACTCACAATTCCAAACTTTATTCTTCTAAATTACAAGTTCAGTATTACTTCTTCTTAATATGAACTCCGGTACAAATATTACCAAATCAAAGGGACACGACTCTGTCCTACCTTTTCAGTTCACATGCTTGTACATCAAACATTAATAAATTTAATTGTTATGTTTTGAAATCATTCCATTGAGTTTTGTATCTTATTCTATGTATGAACATAGAGATTTTGATGTTAGTGGAAATCATTAAATTATCACGCAGCCTATTCTCAACAAGTATTTACCCATATAATTAACACATCCACTACAACACTATAGAATTTAGAAGGTTGCATGTTGGTGTGTATTTTAGGTGTGTGAATGAGTGTGCATGTGCTTGTTCACAAATAATAAACAAAGAAGAACTATACAAAACTTGGTTTTTTACCACAGAGACCATTTATTCTTTCTTATGGTGACTGTAGTAAAACAATGTCTCTTGAGAGTGTTTGTTTTCTTTCTTGTTCAAAAGTTAGTATAAGTATAAGTATTATATTAATAGTCAAACTCAAGTCAGCCATGCACAGAGTTGAAATGACCAAAGAAAAGTTTGTAAAGGGTGTTCCAATAACTTGAACCGATTTTAAATATGAATTAAGTTTAAGCATCTAATGATTTTTTTTTCTTTTTCTTTCAGATTTAAAAACTTAAGTCTTTGGCAAGTTCAACCATAGAAATCAAACAACGTATTAAAGTTATCGAAGCCTATTACAAAAATGAACGTTCAAACAGAAATGCGATAAGAAGTTCCCAGGTTACATCATCTCTCGAAACAGTGAAGTCAATTAGCCACCATGATTGTGCGACTTAACGCCTTTAGATTTCTTCCTTTGGGGTCATCTCAAAAGTAAGGTCTATGTCAACAAGCCAACAACAATTCAACAGCTGAAGGATAAGATAATAAGGCATATTGGTGAGATCGAGGAGCAACTATGCAGAAACATCATCAAAAATTTTGACCATCAAGTGGAAGTGTGCCACTGAAGCCTTGGAGGACATTTGAGTGATATTATTTTTCACATATAATTGCCATGACTTAAATAACATGATCCAATAGAGAAATAAATAAATTTTCACCAATAACACTGATTTATTTACTGCTGACTTTGATCCATCTTAATGTAACACCCTTTACTTACCTTATCATTGGAAAGTGGGTACTACATCATGGAGCAAGAGGGAGAAAGACAGTGAGGCATGAAAATGTTTTCTCTTTTGTATAGATTTAAACAGACTATTGTAGACCATTCATTCACACTTTGAATATTGCTGCCAGGTTTGGCATGGTACTTCTGTTACATATTTAGAGATTCTTGATAAAACAGAAAGAATCTGCAATGTTATTGGTCCTGACCTGGTGTCTTGGCTTTAGTTATTTTCCTGTTGCCATAATGTAGCTTCCCTGTGTCTTTTCTATAAATACTTTCATGGTAATTGTTCTGATGAACTTCCCACTTTGGTACTTAGACTTCATGAATTTAAGTGCTGTTGGCAAGGTCACATCATTTTACAATTGAAAATGGGTAGATGTAACTGTAAGTTCTATGTTAACAGTTTCTTTCACACTTCTCACTTGTGGAACTTTCTTCTGGCTTCTTGCTTTCTAGTCAACTTTGATCTTTAAAAATTTAAATGCAATGTCAATCCTTATCTTCTGTCTGCTTAATTCTTGTTTTTTGTATTGTTTTCTCTCCTTGATAGTATTTTTTCCTTATATTCTCTAACACTCTGTAACTTCTTGTGTCTTAGTGGCTTTATTGCCATGCTTAGGGTGAGATGATTAAAAAAAAATATATATATTACCAGAACTTTTCTTTCTCTTTTTCTACACCAATGAGCCCCCCCCCCCAAAAAAAAAACAGCTAACAAATCTTTTTTTACCTCTCTTTCTGTTTTCATTCTATTTTATTCTATCAATCTATGACATTAAATTACTTTCTTTTTCTTTCTTTTCCTCCTCTTATTTTCTTTTTCTTTATTCAGTGTTTCCCAATATTGAGTGCTAACACCCTCTTATAGGCTCTGTTATGTTGAAAGGGGACACTGGGAGTTTTTATTTCATTTGGGGGGATGGTGAATATATTCAAGGGAAGGGGAGTATTTATCCATTTTGTTTTTCAAATTTTCAAAAATTATTCAATATTGGCTACAAAAGGAAATTTCTGAAAGGCATCTAAAGCTGTGGGAAACTATCAAACTTTTCTTCATTGCTTTTCCAACTTCCAATATGGCTGAATGTGGTTTCAATGCAGTTACACAGCTTCTTACTGAATAAAGAAGCTACTTGCAAATTACAAAACAAGGAGGTCTACAATTACTTTTAAGCACAATGGAACCTTAACCTGAGCCATTAGGCATCAAAGTCAATCAATGCATTAAAAACATCAGGATAAGCTATCAAATAAGTCTTTTTTTTTAGCATTTTAATCATTAGCATTTATAATAGAAATGAAAACAATATTAAAATTATTTTTGCACTAATACCTAAGCGTCATCTTGCTATGAAAGATGAATTCAGTATAATATTCAAAATTTAATTTCATGTGTGTGTGTGTAGGGGGGGTTAAAAAAAGTTTGTGCCCAAAGGGGGCGCTGGTTGAAAAAAGGTTAGGAAACACTGTTCTTTATTCATTGTAACAGAGGGAGATGGCACTTCTAGGTTTTCTTTTTCAAAGAAAATGAGAACCAAGTCTTTTACTTTTTTCTCTCTTTATTCTAAAAAGGCTGCAATTTGAAAATTGCTCATTCTATGTGACAAATTATTTTACTGCTTTGACACCAGAAAACTTGTACTCAGTCTGTATACTTGTGTTGGAATGTGTCACGAAAAAATAAATGATTTCGTCTCTCTCTCTCCTGCTGTTGTAGCAACAGACACAGTCTCCACTTCTGAGACCGAAAAAAAACTGCCCTTCTTCTCATTCAAGCCCTTTACATAGAGCTTGGTCTCACCTATGCAAAACACCAACAAGCCAGCTACCAATCACAGTTCCCGTGCATGCCCACCTCCACTCACTTTGGGGGTGTCAAGTTGACCGACCAACTCATTACAATACTGACACTTAAAGGCACCAGAAATTGAAATGGCCGATAGTCTATGTGATATCATCTTTTTATTGACAAACAAAGGATACATTTCTCAACTGTTTCTAGTCTGATTTTAATAACTGATCCTATTACCTTTAATCTGATGATCTTTGTTTTTGGCCTCATCAAATGACAATTTTTGCTACCAATTCTTAAAAGCTTAAAATCTATATATTTCTTAATAATAATAATAATAATTATAATATAATCTACATCTCAAAATGCTAGCTAGCTTTGCAGGTGTTTCCAAACCTCCCATCTAAGTTCAATGTCCTCTGGGTCAAAAGTGAAAATTATCCATTATTCTTTTTCTTGCAGCTGGGAAATGGGAATTGCATTCAAAATGGGCCATTTCTTCTATGTTTAATTTATTTACCTTACTTTTCAAACAAATTTCATTTACTATCATGTGGTGCATATAAAATCTATCACTCCATAACACACCACTTTTTCCTAAAAAGGAAATGTTAATGATGTGAATGTTTTTTTAATTAACCAACCAGATGACAAAAACAGGACAGTGAAAAATGAATCTGATCTCAACTGGAAAGATGAGTCAGTGTTAAACATTCACTCTAATTGGGTAGCTGTCAAACAATGTTATAAGTGTTGCATTCTTTTTTAAATCTGGTATTTTATGTTAAAAAACAAAAGTCTAGAATCATGAGTGCTGTGATATAATTCACTTATCTGTTTTATATGTGTCCATGTGCTTAAATAAGGGACAAGTAGGAAAATCTTTATAAATTTGACATGTTTCACTATTTAACTTCATCAGAAATTTTGGGAGGAGAATGGTTTGGAGCTATATTTCAGTTATTAAAAACTGAAATATAATTGTCTATATTTCTGAGATGAGGTATTGGGTACACTATTTACATTATTCAGACTATTGTCCTCATCTTTGTTGCCATATTTATCACAATGTTTCAGCTGTTGTACGCTCCAGCCTTCTTCAGGTGGTTAAAATGTTGAGCTGAATCCTTTCTTTTGCTTGCTTTATCCACTGTTCCATGTGTCCTTAAGGACACATGGCACAGTGGATAAAGGTGTTGGTTAGATCCAGTGACAGGACCCAAAGAGTTGTAAGTTCAATACCTGGTTAAGGCAGTGGAGAACTTGGAGAGGTGAATTAATAAGAGATAACTGATAACTGACATCCATTAGACATGGCACGTGGAACTAGAACAGTCTACCCCAGGGAGCAAAATAAAGAGTTCAGTTCGACATTCCAACCACCTGAAGAAGGCCGGAGTGTACAACGGCCAAAACGTTGTGATAAATATGGCAACCAAGATGAGGAAAATAGTCCAAATAATGTAAATAGTGAAATATAATTTTGAATCATTTCACTTCCAAAATTTATGATGAAGTTAAATAAATAGTGAAACATGTCAAATTTATAGAGATTTTCCTACTTGTCCCTTATTTAATAATTTTGGTGGATTTAATCCAGATTTTCAACTCATGTGTATATGCGTATACATGTGTGTGTAAACAAAGTTGAATTTTAAGTACTTTTTATGTTCATCATTATGTTTATGTTAAACAACACACTCAAAAAATTGTGTTCCATCAAAACTTTCATGATGACAATTTAGATCTGAAAAATGTGTGACTTAGTCACATCATATGTGGTTAAGGTTTTGGCTTAAACTAGTGCTTAACAACTACAGTCATTGCTTCATTGTAGGCTTATCAGTTGTCTCGCTATATTATTCTCTATGGCTATCTTCAAGCCAAAACACTAAATTTGGACAGTTTCTGTTTCTTACTGAAAGTGAAATCAGCTGTCTTTTCACCAGGAGAAAGATGTTTTGTAGTATTAAAAAGCACAATACATATAATCTGTATTGGCTACTTTTATTTTCACCAATAGTGAAATTTTGCCAACTACTTGTCTGTGATGGAGAGAGTAAGGTGAGTGAGTAAGCAGTTGTAAACCCACATACTACAAGGTGAAATTTTTCTCTGAAATATTTTGGAGGTAGAAACTTTTTTTTTTTTTACTAGGAAATCTTACATTCTTGAGAAGACACTACCAGATCCTTCTTTTTCCTTTTTTGTTTTTGTTTTTGCAGCACTTGTGATCATCAAATGACCCTATCAAATATCATATTTCAGTAATACAATATATTTCCAACAACCTGTAGTTTTATTTTAGTGAGGAGATTTTTTCCTAACCTTTAACCCTAAAGTTTTCTCTTCCATTTTGCATACACACAAATGCTACAAATGCTGTTTTAATAAAAAGTGAATATAATATATTCAGCTGAAGATCATTGAAAGTGTCATGACTTCTAGTCAATTAATAATTAATATACCATTGGGATATTTCAAAATATCTCCTTTTTTTGTTTAATTAGTACTGAAACAGTATCAGCTGTTTAAACAAAAGGAAAACAAACACAAAAGAACAGAGTTCTTGTTAAAATCTAATTTATAAAATGATTGAAAATTAAAGTAAAAAAATTAGGTTTTTTTCTTAAAACACTTTTTTGGATAATCAGCAAAACATGTCATGGAAAAAAATTTTCAACATATATATATATATATATATATATATATAAAATGAAAAGTTCAAGTGTAGACTTAGAAAGGGTTCTATATCTGACCATCTACATGAATTTCATTTGTTGGAGTGTAATATTTGCCACAGTGTCTTGAAATCAAAATCCAGTTATATCAATGACCTTAAATCTCATGACAATACTCATACATGTAATCTTGATAGCTTTCTTCCAAAACCAACTGAAAATGTGTGTAATGTATGGTAAAATCTGTAAATCCAATCCAGATCTGAAAAACACATGAAGGCCCATGCGGATGACATTACTTAAACTGAACCAATAAATCTTGTCAAGGTGACCTCGTTTATACGTCACGTATGCTTCAAGTCATGCAAATCCTTTGTTATATACTAAAGAGTCACCATAAAGCCCATCCTTGTTTACGAGTTAACAATTAATTCAGCTATGGGCAATTAATGAGATGATAATCACTTGTAAAGATGCTGAAATTATCAACATTAGGCATTCTTTAACCTAAATGCCTGCAATAAAATGATGTGTCAAAAAGACCGTTTTTCCTTTGACACTGGTATTATTTTAACTACCTTCACTCCCAAAGCATTCTAAAAATGTAAACCAACTAATACAATGCAATGTTTTATTATGCAAATGAAATAAGTGCAACAAAAATGATTATTTATAAATGAATGTGAAAGATATCATATATTTGATTGACACATCATCACATATATGATTAGAGAGAGCTATGGAAGAAAGAATTATTCTCCACCCACCCCCCATTATGAGCATTATTATATCCATGATAGAATAACACTGTAGTTCATGGATGGAACAGAATCACTGAAAGGAAAATAATGACAAACATGCTAGATTCTCAGAGAGACTTTTATACCACTAAGACATGCACAAAAATATATATATATATATATATATATATATATGTGTGTGTGTGTGTGTGTGTGTGCGTCACACACAAAAAAAAATGTATCACATATATCTACACAGTGAGCAGAGTGTAAGAAGAAACAAAAAGGAAGGGTCTTACATATAATATGAAGATTTTTCTGTGTTTCTGGAGAAGCCATGTTCAGGACTCCAGATTCAAATAGGCCAAATTCATCTATTATTGTCCAGGATATGTTCCAGGAAAGGAAAACGCTGAGTATTGGGTTTTCCCAAATTGAGGACTGCAAGCCAGATTTTCTGTCTATATCTGGGGAAGATATATCTCCAAAGGGAAATGGCATCATGGACTTGTAAACTGTAGCATTTACTGGAGGAGGCAGATTTAGCCTCAGGCTGGGCCTCTTGACCCAGGATAAAAAAGCAACCATTCGGTTTGGCTGCTGTAAATGAACTGAAATTGACTGCCGTTTTCATCACAGTATAGAGTGATGTCATTAAGTAACCATCATGTGAACAATCTGACTTATCTCCACCAAAGGGAGATAATTATCTTCTGTATGCCTAAACATATAACTGAATAAATTATTATTTGACATGTTAAAATAAGCACATTGATATTCATCAGTCATTCAACCATTGATTTCATTCACTTTACAACTGTTTTGGCTTTTTTAAATTTTTCCCGGAAATCTCTGAATATCTATTTTAATGATAAACCCTAAGTTTTCTCTTGGATTATTATCTGAAGAGATTTGGAGCTTTCAGCATTAACTTGGTATCTTTGAAGCCTTTTATAGCAAGTTGGGCAACAGACAATTTTACAGAATTTGAAGGAGCATTGTCTTTCATGAATCATACTTATTATAAAACCCAGGTTGTGTGTGTGTCTGTGTGTCTGTACGTTTATATATTGGATCGGATTTCCTACATTTTTCAACCGATTTCAACAAAACTTCACAGGACTATGTAAAATTACCTTGCGGCGGTTCTGGCAGTGCCAAAAATTGAAAAAACACAATTGTTTTGCATGAAATCAATTGGAAAACACGATTAAGAGTCATCGCAAGAATGAAAGGGGGACAACTCATATCGAGTTATACTTATTATAAAACCCAGGTTGTTTGTGGGTGTGTGTTTGTTTATATATGGGATTGGATTTCCTACATTTTTCAACTGATTTCAATAAAACTTCACTTTTTTTTGACAGGTAGTGTTTCTTATTGTCTTGCACACTTTTTTCCTTATTTTTACATTCAGAATGCTTTAAAAATTTCATTTACAAGACAATTGTTTATAATAAAATTCTATTCAATCGGTAGACTCATAACGATTGAAAACAATGTTTTTGTTTGAGTTTTTGGGTTTGACCAATTTGTAAAAAAAAAAACAAAAACTAAAAACAAAAACCTAATTAAGACATGCGTGTCTGTCAACCTTAAACAATAATCTTTGTCAATTTTATTTTTCAGTCTTTATGATGGTCGATACTTGATCTATCTCTTACTGTTACATCCCTGGGCAATGCCAGGCTCTCCTGCTAGTCTTCTCATATAGCTTAAAGCTTCTTGGTTGTGACTTGTGCCAGTCAAAAATATCTTGTTTAAGAACTTAGAATAATTCTCTGCATTTTTATATTTTCTCACCCTTTCAATACATCTTAATTTCTTTCTCTTCCTTTCCCCTCTCTCTTTCCTTTCTACACTTTTCCTCTCCCTCTCACTAGCTATCTATATTTCTCTCTTTCTTACCATTTTACACTTACCTCCCCACTGTATTTCTTTTTCTCCTTCTTTCACTATCTTAATTTCTTCCTCTCCCTTTCTCCTCTCTCTGTCCTTTCTGCATTTCTTCCTCTCCCTCTATCTAGCTATCCATATTCTGTCTTACCTTTCAACATTTTCCTCATCTCTATATTTCTTCTTTCTCTCTCTCTCTCTCTCCAGCTTAATCTCTTTGTCTCCCTTTCTCCTCTCTATGTCCTTTTGTATTTCTTCCTCTCACTAGTTATCCATATTTATCTCCTCACCTTTCTACATTTTCCCTCTCTGTATTTCTTTCTTTCCTTCTCTCTGTCCTTTCTGTATTTATGTCTCCTTTTCTCATCTCTATCCTTTCTGTATTTCTTCCTCACCCTCTCACTAATTGTCCATATTTCTCTTCTTCTCACCGTTCTACATTTTCCCTCTCTGTATTTCTTTCTCTTCTTCTCTCACTCCATTTTAATTTCTTCTTTTCTCTGTCCTTTCTATATTTCCTCCTCAATCAATCAATATTTTGCATTTCCCACTTTCTATCCCTCTTTTTTGCTCCCTCTTCTCTTTCTATACTTTCTCTATTTCTTTCCACCTCTTTCTAAACTTCCCTTTTCTATCTATATTTTCACTCTACCACCCTCTCTATTCCTTCTATATTTCTTCCTTTTTCCTTCCACATTTATGTATTTTAATTTGTATTTCACTTAAATCTCTATCTTGTTGCAGAACAGAGCTACAAGATTTGAATGGTGTTATAAAATAAAATAAGACATATCTCGGCTGATTTGCAGGCAAATAAACTAACATACTCAAGAGCGAGAGCCAGATGTGAACGGGACAAGGCCCCGTCACAAAATGACCATTATCGTCATTTACACAAAAGCCCAATGCACGAGTTCCGGTTGAAAAATAAAATAATATTTTAAAGTGTTCCTATTTCTTGACCAATAAAAATGCTTCCCTCCTAATTATACTTGCATTGTTTTTCGAGCCTGTTAAGCCATAAAAAACGCCATAAAAGGGGTCACACGGGCAGTCAACAGGAGGCCAGGGAAGAGACCTGTCACAGTCAGGCTGAGCAGTTGGCAGCAGTCAGCAGCAGTCAGCAGGAGGAGCGCCACGCCAACCAGTGAGAACTACTATGAGAGATCAACCCAGATCGGCAGCTGGCTTATGAACTATACCACAAGGTAGCTGTCCCAAATCCACACGTTCCTGTTGAAATAAATCACGTAAATCTATTTCTGCAGTTGTCGTATTTCTTTCTTGCAACCATACGCTTGTCTATAACAATGGGTAAAAAGCTGTTGTTAGTCACTAGTTTCTAGTGTTTGGAGTTACAACTTGTTGCTGATTATGGTGAAGAATTTCAAAGTAAAATGAATTCAAAACATGAAGGACATTTTGTATATATATGAAGAATATATTATGAAAGGAACTAAGTCCAACAATTATTTTAATATATTTATTGTTTATACATTTTTATAGATAGAAATATTTAAATAAATGATGTTTATAATAAACAGTATTAATAACATTTACCGGCCTGAATGTCCGAGAAATTTCATAGAAAATATGCAACCACTGAAAGGAATCAAACTTATATCTTACACAGAACCATCATATAGCTTAATGTGCTATACCATTTAGCTACAGAGGAAGGTCAAATTACTGCTTTTAAACAACAAATTTCTCATGATTTCTTTGAGACATTCAGGCTGGTAAATATTGTTAATACTCTTTATTATAAACAGAGCATTTACTTACATTATTTTTATAGATACAAATATTTATAAACAATAAATATATTAAAATAATTGTCAGACTTAGTCCATTTCATAATATATGATGTCATTTGTTTATGTTAAGATATGCTTTGAGCAGATATGAGTGCTCAAGTGAAATCATGTGAAATTTGTAGTTTAAAAACAGTAATTTGACCTTGCTAACCAGATACTTCCTCTGTTGCTAAATAGTATAGCACATCAGGCTATATGACAGTTACATGTAAGATACAGGGTTGATTTCTGTCAGGACACATATTTTCTCTGAAATTTCTTGGACATTCAGGCCAGTAAATGTTGTTAATACGGTTTATTATAAACAGAGCATTTATTTAAATATTTGTATCTATAAAAATAATGTATAAACAATAAATATATTAATGTAAAAAATAACATAATTCAAGAAGATAGAAAATATATTTGTGTGCACATGGCTGAAAAAGAAAGAAAGACATTTATAGGCTTTGCTCTGTGTTAGTGAGTGAGTAAGAGATGTGCCATGTGGCTAGGTTTGAAATTTAGCTGTTGGCTGCCCAATGAAAAAAATTTCCATGGAGGTGTTATAAGGAGTCTATGGCTACAAAGGAAAGAACAAACAAAGATTAAATTTTCAACAACATGTATTGATCAAGTGTGAAGAATATATACAAAGTTGTGTGATAGCAAAGCTTGATTGTGGTATTGGATTCTGGTCGAATGGGAGATCAATGAAATGTGATCGCAATGGTGACTACAAGAGAGGTCTGTCATTGGGAGAGTGAGAGAGAGTCATTGTGGTGACGACAACAGCAAGCCATTGTCAACAGCTGGCGTCATGGCCTGCTGCTGTGTCAGTTATTTACAAGGAACTTTCTTTTAAGCAAATGTGGTGTCTGTCTCCCAGGATCCTCTATTTTTTTGTTGGCAATGTTCATGATTAGCAATTGTATTTTAGATTTTTGCAGGGATTTGTTTTGTGGACTGGATGTGATGCTCAGAGCCCCTGTGCAGAAGGTGACATTTTTATTTTGTGTTTTGCTTTATTAGCACTCACATCTAGCCAACATTTAGAGTAAATCAGAAAGAGATATTGCAACAGAGTATAACAGAGGTGATGAGATGCATCCTATACCTACCACATTCTGGAAAAAAAATGAGAAAGGCAGGATTTTATTTTCTTCCTTATATAGTCCTGAAACAGTGCCTCCTAGTGAGTATTTTTGCAAACAAGTTGGTGGTAATCCACCCAATCAAAAAAATATTCCAATGCTTTGTATTATAATTATTAATGAATTTACATTGTTCTTAGTATTTTTATCAATATATTTTTTGGTCTCTAATTAAACATGTTTGCTATTGCTGCAAAATAAATTTCTACTAAATCAATAACATATAAATTATTATTTGTAACTCATAATTAGTTCTATTTATTGATTAAAGTTGAATATTGAAAAATCAGAAAAAAGTTGGAGAAATTGAAAATTTACTATTGTCAAATTTCCTGTATTGGTTGCTGGTTGGTTGATTTTGTTTAGCAGTATGTAATATAGCAACAATTCTAAGTAGAAGATTATAAAGCTTTATTTGACTAATTCAGCTTTAGCACTGAAAATGCTTATTTTATTATAGCGGATGGTTACAAGTGAGAGGGGAGATGGTATTTGCTTATTTTATTACCACACAGCATATCGCTTTCTATGGGTTATTTAATGCTGAAATCTAAATATATGTAATTTTATGCTTTCAGGATAAAGATATGTTTTTTTAGATATATAATCTGTAGATCATAAAATATACTGTTGATAATTTTGCTATAAACATATATTTTTTTAGTGTTGCATTGTCTTTTTGCTATAAAAATGTATTGTTGTTCATTTGGTTATAAAACTGTACTGGGCCCTAACAGGTGCTACCACTCCTGGTCAGGGTGAACCTGGGAACAACAGAAGTTAAGAGGTGGTTCCATGCTCATCAAAACCTCCAATCTCCCAATCAGAGACCTTGCTGCAGGATGTAGTTTATCATCATACCTAGGACAATTCAGTATTGGAAATTAAGAATTTTTTTTTCTTTTGTTTTCTTTTCCTGTTTTATTTTCTTTCAAATTCATTCTTTTTTCTTTCACTTCTTCTCCTACCTCCCACTTTCACTCATATCCTCTCTCTCTCTCTCTCTAAAAATGTGTACTTTTTCTTCTTCACCATCAGTCTCTCCTTCATCTCATTACTTTCCTCTTCTATAAATTCCTTCCTGTCGACTTTATACATTTTTCTTCTTTATGACTCTTTTTTCCTTTCTTTTTCCATGTTATGATTTTGACATTCCCATTCTTTCTTCCTGCCTCTTTCTTTTTTACGTTGCTATTTTCCTCACTTTCCTTCATTGTTACTCTTGCTTTTTTATTTTATTTCTTATCTTTTTTTATTCTTTCACTCACTCTCTTTCTTTCTTGTCTCTCTTTCCATTCAGCCTATGGTCACATCACATTGAAACACCATTTCCTGTACAAACACCAAAGTTAAGCAATGTCATGCCTTGTCAGTCCCTAGATGGGTGACTGCTTGGAAATACCAGGTGCTGTAAGCTTGGATGTGCAGGTGGTGTAATGGCTCAGAATTGTTAAATTTCCAATTACAGTTGAGTTACTTATATTCACTTAGGTGCAAATACTTTTGGAAAAGGTATGAATCCACCTCTTCTCCCTCCAGCAATAGGTTAATTAGTAAGACTTGTATCATGAAACCATTATTATCTCAAAAAAATTTCTTATAATCTAAAAAGATTTATGGCTTTCAATAACCTGCAAATGGTTGATAAGCTATAAAAAGCAAAGCAAACAATAAAATCAATCTCTTTCCCTTCACTCTCCCCCTCTTTCTTTATTATGATTTCCCTCTTTCTTATTTATAATTCTTTCTTTCTCTTCCTTCCTTATAAATCTCTTTTCTTCACTTTTTCTCTATTTTTTATCCTTCTCTCACTTTACTCTTCTTCTTTTTTCATTCTCAATTTTTCTTTCAAATTTCCCAAGGTCATGTTTTTTCCCAGACTACTATTTCCCACCCTCTTTTGTTTACTTTTTTCTACCCACTACACATTTGCATATATTTATTTACTCATGTTGCCACTTCCTGCTTATTCCATTACAACAATTCTTTTTATTCATGCAAGTCGGAGTCAATATTGCCAACAACTTACAAAATGCTGACTGAAAAATCAATTTTATTTTGTACATTTTTTATAAAAATCTCAGTGGAAAATGAAAATGTCAATGTTCAAGTATTACCATATGAAAAGACTTTTTTAATAACTCACAATAAGACTATTTTAAAATGAAAATACATAGACAATGAGTCAACCAGCATTACATGACTTGAGACAATTCTTAAATTCATCCATTTTTTAGATTGTGTAACACGACTTTTCTCCTTGGGTAGCAACTGTAATTTCCTATTTGCTTATACGTAGAAAGTATGAAAAATGGCTAATATCTTCTTCAAATTTTGCTTTTATGAGCAAAATAATGATATTTCTGAAATTTACTTATTCCCATTGGGAAAACTGGCAAATGTGAACAGTCTCATTAACACAAAATAAGAACAAAATGATATACGATTCAAAAGTAGCATTTATTTATTCTAGGATTAAACAAGAGAGACCACAAAATATTTAGAAGTGAGTAGTTTTTTGTGATTTATGCTTATACTGTAAATTACTTTCATGAATCAGTCCCCAAATATAGTCTCATCATGTTTTCATTATACGATTCTTGGTGATGGCATTCAAAGTCCAGTATATCCTGGTGGAGGCACTTGCCTTGCTCTTCTGAGTATGCCCCCATGTTCTCTTGAATTTATCAAGATAAGTATCAAGGATATGAACTTTGAAAGACATCCTGCAGTCCATTTTACCAGAGTCCTTCACCAGAGTCTCAACAAGCTCTATATAGTTTCCAGCCACATAATTCCCCAGGAACCCCTGAAAATTCTCCTTCAGCAACTCAGCACTGAATCTGTCTGGAATGCAATGGAAAATAGGTTAGTTTCAAAACATCAAAGTTTGAAGAAAATAATAGTAATTTGCTTTGCTTTCAAGACAGAAGCAATTAGGAAATAAAACTTACTAAATGTCAAAATTTTGTTACACATTGATTGGTTACATTTTTTAAAAAAATCATATCAGATAATTAATGATGTAGAGATAGAAAAGACAATCATCTCCATTTGGTTGAGATGAAGATGAAGTGATGGCTGCTTATTAACATCACTTCATATTGTGACAAAAGTGGCCATTAGTCAGCTTCCAAGAGTCAAACTGAGCAGTTACTTTTTTAGTCCGTGTCTCAGCTAAATTTGCCTCCTCCAGCCAGCTGCCATGTTGTGTAGCTTACAAGCTTATGGCACCATTTTCTTTTAGACATCTAATAGACATTAGATATCACCAGATATAAAAACTATTTCCAGCTCACAGTTCTCATGTTGGCAAAAACCCATGACAAGCCATTTCATGTTTGAGTGGAATATGTCCTCACTAAGAACATAGCAGATAAATCCAGCCTTGCGGCTCTTAAAAAGCAAATTTACCAATATAACTATTCAGCAAATTTTTATTACATATTTATCACGGGGGTTAAAAAGCAAATTACCCTCAAAGAAAGATGTGAAAATATGTTTTTTTATTCAAGTGAACATTTCTTAAAGTGTTAGTTTCAGCTTTCAGATTGGAATTAAACGTGGGGAAGAGGTGAAAGATTTGACACATCACTCAGATGAGATTAACTGAGAGACAGTTTCTATTGAAATAGGATTAATAAAAAAATTAAGTTCCAAGTTTTATTTTTTATGATACAAAATAGTGAAATAAATTTGCTGATGCAGGTTCCTTAAAATTATAGAGTTAGTGTTCCAGAACCTTTCTTTAGACACCTGCCTCAACATGTAATTTTATTTTAAACATTTAGTAATTCCAAAATAAATATAACCCTAACTATGAACTCTAACCTTAATTTACATTCGGCGTTTAGTTTACTAACCCTATAGATATAAAAATTGTTATAGAATTTTTTTTTTTCTATTGATTAATGTAAGGGAAATAACTCGGAACTGTTGTCTCTTTACTCCACGATATCGACAGAACAGAAAAATATTTTAAAAATAAACCTTACTTTTCGTTATTTGTACAGGGCAGGTCTACACAGTTAAAAATGTAAAGGGCTACATTTATCTGAGAAAGTTAGCCGGCAAGAGTAAATTTTTGGAGTAAAAATTAGTTATGAGAGAGAAACAGAAAGTGAAGAAGAGGGATTCTTTCTTTTTCTTTTTTCTACGGAGATTTTTTAAAAAGGATTATCATTATTATTTCCAAAGCAGTGAGATATTTAGTTGAATAAAGCCAGGCTTCTACAAAAGTTTAAAGTGATTTTTTTCGTAAAATTTATTCTGATTAACATAAATTTACTATTCTGAAAAACATCTCGAGGGCCTCATGCGTCCGACATATCGTATTATTTTGGGCAGGCCTTGTATAGGGGCTCGAACATGAAAGTATGATTCTGTAATTTTAAAGGTAAATTATTTTTAAGTAACGTACTGGTCTTGTGAGTAAACTAAGAATTAAAGAATTGATGTGCTGAAATTTTTTTTTAATTGGTTCCATGCACCAAAGAATTTGCGAAATGTTCTACTTTTCGTTTTTATGAGAAAAACTCTAAGAAGAAAAAAACTAAGAAATCTTAATGTGGAAAATTTCATTCAACAAATATTAAAAAAAAGGTTGCGGAGTGTGTGTGCAATTTTGTTCTTGCCTATTTTGAAAGGAAGAGAAGAGTGTAACTGTAATTCACTTGCTGTAATGATTATCATAAAATGAGATGTAAAGGGGAAAAGTCGGCCTGCAAAGAATAATATTATTAAATATTGGTAGTGTCAGAATATGTGGCTGGCCTTTTGTCGTCACACATATCAACTAAGTGGGTTGCGAATCAGCCTAACGTTTCACTAACAACAGTTATTAGAGAGTCATCTTAAATGTCATATTAACATTGACAAAAATGCTGTTGGCACTAGAAGAGAATCTGAAACCAATGTTGTTGCTGTTTGTAGGCAATAAGTTTAGTGATTGACCCGGAAATTACATCAAATTTCAGGGTGGGGGACGCTTCGCGTGAGTAGTTTTCTATGGAAGCCTAGTCAAGTCATAATGCTGAACTATTTTCAAGAAAAATATGTTCAAAAACTGGTTTGTTCTGTGGAGTTGTCTGCCAGGGCTCTGCTAGGTGGCATTATATTCAGAACTATATAACTTTACATCTGCTATGTAAAGTTATATAGTTCTGAATATATAGTTATATAGTTATATATATATATATATATATAGTTATATAGTTATAACCCTAACCCAAGAAAATATTTTAATATATTTTTTGTTTATACGTTATTTTTATAGATACAAATATTTAAGTAAATGCTCTGTTTAAAACGGTATTAACAACACTTACCGGCTTGAATGTCCGAGAAATCTCAAAGAAAATATGTGTCCTCTGACAGGTATTGAATCTGTATCCTACATGGAACTGCCATATAACCTGACGTGCAATACCATTTAGCTACAGAGGAAGTGTCGTATAATCAAAAAATATATTAAAATAATTGCTGGACTTCATAATATATTAAAGAAGATATATAAACATCTTCACCATCCTTTTTGCTCTGCAATTTAGTGATAACATCAAGAGTTTTTACTCCAGCAAACCAATTAGTTAATTTCAAACAAACCACATGGACATTACACACATATGACAAGTCATAACTCTTACCGCTACAAACTTGTGACCAAGAGCAACCTTGTCTAATACAAACTGTGGAACTCTTTGCTACAGAGTATTAAATAAATGTTTGTTTTTTTTTTAATTGATCAGCACGATGGCTTTGATGTTAATTTCAGTTTATTTCTACTTTTGTTGATTTCAAATTATGTATTGCAACTTCAATTTATTTAAATTTCTCTCCCATCAAAATATTTTTCATTTTTCTATAGAAAAGTCAAACCAGGAGCCTACTTGAATAATGTTCTTAAATAGCATTGTCAAATTGAGATTTTCATATGGATGTTATGCATGTCACCTAATCTGTTCAGAGATATGTAAACTGTTAATTGTATACAACCACTTCCTAAGATCAATGGTGAAAAAAAGCTTTGTGTGAGTAAAACCAGAGGGTCTTGACAGAGATCACCCTTCTTTGAACATTGTGGACTGGCATTACAAAATCAAAAACAAAGAACTGTACCAAATAACAGAAACCAACAGCAGGAAA